TCTAGGGTGTAATGGAAGATAGTGTTGACTCAGAGACAACATTTTATGTCCTTTCTTCAGCATGGGATTTTTGACACCAAGGAACCTGCTACAGAGCCTTCTGCTGCATGGCTACATTGTGGTCCTTGATTCTGATGATGAAAGATATCTGTTCCTCCCTAATGCCACGAAGTCAAACCTCCTTGCCATTTTGAGCAGAAACTATTCCTCTTCTCCAGGTGATCAGTCTATCCCTGGGAAAAAAAAAACAACCCAAAAACAGGAAAATGTAATGTGGTAGGCATATCTATTAGTAAAGAGTACCTCTGAGACTGTGAGGCAGATCTCCTGGTCAGGACAGTGTGAGAGCACTGCAGGCAGAAGGAGTCAGTGGAGGTGTGTGGGGCACAAAGAATGGAACGTGTTAGCTCAAGTCCAGCCATCATTCTCATTGCCTTGTTAGCTCAGTCTTCCTGAAGCAGGTTCTTTGACCACCTCTTTTGAACAAGACTTAGATTTGTACCTGATGTGGGGACAAATTCTTTAGTAAGTTTCAAAATGTTGTAAACTGGTACCAAAACATTTTGGTATTTTTGAAACTGTGTTAAGAGATAGGCAAACGGTAGGCCTAATTATATATGGGTTAAATAATACGTTTTGCTTCATCATCTTATTTGTAGAGCTCCTGGGAAAGTAACAGGAGATGCATATTCGAAGAGACAGAGCTAAAATTACTGTTTTACATGAAAATTTATTATTTTTTGATTCCTTTCCTTTTCTATTTTTTATTTGTTTTTTAAATTTTTTTTTCTGTGACTCTGTATTCTGGCATGTTCTTTCATTTGTTCTAGTAATCCTTCCATCCCTAATAAAGGCATGAGTCTTTCTGGCACCCATCCTTTTCATTCGTCAACAATGAAAATGAACAATGAAAATAAAAAATTTTAACTTCTATAAGCGTTTTCTGATTACAGTAGTGGAAAAGCTAATTGGAGTATAGTGATGTAATACACTTCACTCTGCATCTTCAGTCATTTTTTTTGAGAGTTCTTCTTGAAAGTCTCTGTTAGTGTTTCAACTAAATATAAGCCAAGGATGAAATATCCTTTAATATCAGGTATTACTCAGGCAGCATGCAGAGTTTTGACTGAGAAAGAATTGTACAAATTAAACAGTTTAGATGGTTTATGTAAATAACTTCAGGGTTCTCAGCCTTCTGAATGCATTAACAGAATTTTTATGTGGAATATTACTCGGATATATATATGCTTTAGTACAGATAAACATTGTTATAATGTTTATCTGTAAGTGTCAACCCAGAACAGTGAGGAGAAGGATGTGACTTCTTCATCATTGACTGGGAAAATTATAGTTCAGTTAAACATCTTTTCCTGTTTTGAGGTATCAAATCTCCTTCAAATATAATATTTTATTTTAACGGGCAAATATTATAATTGCTAGTATGGATCTTAAACTCCTGTGCTAGGTATTAAGTTCTGGCAATGAGAAAATCCACATGTACCTAATGTTATTTATTATGCAAAACTGATTTCAAGGAGTCTTTGCAGACCAGAAATATGTGCTGTTATTCAGATATTGTTCACTGCCTTCTCTTTGTGGTGCTAGGTATTGTTTTCTTGAATTTATCACAATTTTGTCAGATTCCTAATTCATGTGGTATTAATTACACTCTTTTTCCCCTTCACTTCTGATACAAATTGTATCTAATTTCTGACACCCACACTAAGATCTCAAATGGCAGGCACCAGTTTTTTAATAAATTAAATGATTAATGACTCTCAATGTGGAAGCCAAACCCTTGACTTAGGTGTGGCTGCAGCAGAAGCATCTTCTTTGCATGGAATGTTCTAACTCGACTGGTGTTTGGGATCTTTGTGTGTTTTCATGGCAAGGCCCCAGCCCTCTGAAAAATCTGCCACAATGACTCACAATATTATGACAGAAGGCAGAGTCATTGTATGTTACTTAAAGGGTGTTTAGTTTAATTTGTTCTCGATTATGCATAAAACTACTTAATAATGCTATGCAAATTGATATAAAATATATTTATAATACATTACAAATAGCTTCTACAGAAGTCATAAATTTGCTCTGTAGCCTTTAAAATAATGGAAATGTTTGCCATGATGGACAGTGATTTTAAATCTAGTGTTTGCTTCAGCTATGACAATTAAATAAATATGTATTAGAGGACACTCATCACAACTGCAATTTCAACAGCTATTTTGAATTAGTGGGCAGGTATCTGCAAGCTTACAGCACGTAAAAATGGCATTTATTTCTATCTGAAACTGCAAAATTTCCCACTATTCAACAAAAGGAACAGTATGGCAATCAGTGATTTCCTGAGCCATGTTTTTTGGGATGCACTTTTCTCAGGCTAAAAAAGTTCTTTTACTGAGCCCTGGGAGGTAAACTCCTTTTCCTGTGGCTTTGCAATACATCCCTCTACTACTTGTGAAGATGATAGGGTGATCTGCAGAGGGGGAGGCCCCAAGCCCCTGGTAGCATGATGTTGCTGTGGCTCCTGCCAGGTGCTTTTGCATTCAAATGATAATACTTGTCTTTTCCCTTTCATAAACCATCAGTGGACTTCTCTCAGTCAGCTGTGGAGCCTTCTGTCTACTTTGAAAACCCCAAGACATGCACTATCAATATAGACATGAATGCCATCTTCTGTAGTATTTTCTTGTAGACCAAGACTTTAGATAAATATGGACCAGTTCATCTAGGTCAATATACTATGTGCTAATTGTATAATTAACTGAAAATGGCAGTATTCATTACAATTTTTCCTTGTTCTTAAGGGAAACTGTAATATAATCCAATGCTGATAAGAGTTGCAGGGATGGGAAAATATGTTTAAAAGGTGGGGGACATCTCACAGATGATCCCCTCACAGAACTCTTCTTCAGCTGGGTGGTGAAGCCACAGCACTCATGTAGAATGATTTATTTTGCAAGAGCAGTTGTTCTTCTTGATTTTGTTTTCTGTATCGCAACATTACCTCTTCTTCAATTAAATTAAATCTTTATTCTAAGGAGATTATTGTGTCAGTGTCTCTGCAGCTTGCAGCTTGTTTTCTGGGAATAGTCAAGGCTTTTACAACATGTCCTTTCATGTTCTGAGAATTGGCAATCAAACAGGCAGTGCAAGTAATTATTCTTGGGACAATTTTTATCAAATGTGAAACAAATGTAAAGAAGGCAGGAGGAAAAAAATAACCCAAGCAGAAGTGTTATGCTTAAAAAAACCGATTCTCTTGTTAAAACTGCTGTTAAAGCAATCTTTGTCATACCATCTCCATTATTGTGGCTGAAACAGGAGATGGGGGTGCTCAGTTTTCTTTTCTAGTATTGTCTTTTATTTTTCATGGCTTTTCTGTGCTGCTGAGAGCAACGGCTGATATTGGTTTCATTGCATTGTTTTCATTGCACTGAAATTCAGAGCAGAACAGCATGAGCTTAATCATGCTCCCACTAAGCATACTGGAAGTGGAAAGTCCCACTGCCTTAGGAGGATTATGTTGCACCGCTTACATTTTGTATTATTAAATGTTCTTTTCAGGGCATAATGGGTGCAGTGTTATTATCTGTCTTGTAGACTTGTCTTCAAAAGAGCACAAGGAACTGAGTGATTCTAAATGGCTGAAAAGAAATAGATTTCTATTTACAGTGCCCTTGTAATTAGTTCAAAGACAAGAGTGTACTGAGTATCTGAATGTTAATACCATTTTATTATCAAGGGAATTTGGTGTGCTGCCAAATGAAATAATAACATTAATTTTGAGCAGTAGTATTTAACAGTTTTATTTATATCTGTTGCAATTATTTAAAACTTCTACTTGGTAAAACTAAGATAATAGTTTCTCTAGAAACAAAAATGAGAAAATTTAAGAACTGAGTTGTTTGCTGAAAGCTGTATGCCAAATATTTTTTCTTTTGGTGTTTTGTTTTAGGTTTTTGGGGTTTTTTTCATGGTGTGTCTGGTTTTCAGTAATTTAGGAATTCAGTAGCAAAGGTTTCAGACCCTTGTGGCTCTAGTTGACTTCAATGAGATGAGCTTTTGCTCAGTGTGTTTGAAAATCCCTTGTTTCTTTTTGGTGGATGGCTGTGAGAATTCCAAGCGCAGAAAGAGGCAATGGGTAACACACTGAGAATCACAAGATCTAAAACTCAGCTCCTACATAGCAAACTTAAAGGACAATATTAGTTTGGAAGTTTTACATTAATTTAAAACATTGAAGTAGTACATATGTAGTAGTACATATGAAGTAGTACATGTAGTAGTATATGAAGTGGTACAGGATTGATAACAGGATAATACTTACTTGCCTTAAAATATTTATAAGCAAGATTGGCTTAAGACAGTTATTCCATTAAAGCAAGCATATTGTGGCTGGAAATGGAATTTAGCAGGATGAAGGTGTGGAAGTTTAGGTGCATGGGGCTGAGAGTTACCTATAAGAGAACAGGCACCAATATATCTGAAAGCCTGGCTTCAGTGTGTTTGAAAGCTCATCTTTAAAGTTCATCAGAAAAGATTAAAGTGATGTTTTTATGACTAAACTGTTACTCTGTGGCTTCTGACACATGCTGAAGAATTTGATGCAGAATGACTGAAAACTTGTGAAAGCTGTAGAAAGTTACCTCCTCCTGTAAAAGAGAAAAGTGAATTTAATCCCTTCAAGGGCAGCGAAAAGGACAAAGTTTTGTAATACAATGTCAATGCACATGAATAAATATGCATAAGAAAATGGAAGTGTATATAAGGGATGGTTGGAAACCAGCTTGTACATGAAGAACTGAATGTTGTAGTTTTCTGCTGCTTGTGTTTCCCAGTTAGTGGTTTCAGCTTGTTCACCTGATTTTAGTGAAATCCTTCTATAACAAAAACTCTGTTGCTGTGTCCGTCCATACTCATGGTTTGATTTACCAGTACAGCAGTAATTTAAAACTGGTAAAGAATTGTGATCAAGTGTTTCTGTTTTTATTTGACAGGCCGGACCTGATAGACATGAATACCGTTGCTGTTCAAAGCAACCTTGCAAATTTAGAACATGCTTTTTTTGTAGCAGAAAAACTTGGTGTTGCCAGACTTCTGGATCCTGAAGGTAAGAGAGCTACCTTGGCTTTTGTTGCAAAACTCCCAGCACTAAAATAAAGTCCAATCTGTCTGCAGGTTGTAGCATATTTGTGGGCATTCTTACAACTACGTGATAAAGCACTGTTCTGTCTTGCTCTTTTAGATGTTGATGTTTCCTCACCTGATGAGAAGTCAGTAATAACTTATGTGTCATCACTTTATGATGCATTTCCCAAAGTACCAGAAGGTGGTGAAGGCATCAGTGCAAATGTAAGTAGAACAACATTTGTGCAGTGTGTGAACTACATCAATAAAATACTGAATTTCAGATCCAAAATATTAGCTAGATCTTCCCTAGGACTGCTGTCACACTTTTTTTTGGCATGGTTTTTCTATGGTGGGATTTTAAAGTCTTAGCCATTTCATGTCACGGACATGAAAATATTTGTGCAATGAGCTTAACTGAAAACAATGTGCCTGAAGGTGGAGAAAGATCGAGTCAAAGTTCTTACTTTTCAATTGTGATTGTATAAATGATGCCTTTCTGATTCTTACCAGTTTGAAATTTATTAATCTCAAAAATATTTTGTTTTCAGTAGAATTATTTGGGGTCAAAACTGAAGACTGAAATCATTTGGATCTGATCTTTAAAGAGCAAATAAATATTGTCTCAGAACTGCAGGATTTCAATATCCATTTTCTATAAGTGTGAAGATTTCAGTTTTCAAAGCTGAAGCAGAAATGAGCTCTTGATGATTTTCATCTCTTCTGTAATCTGGGTTTTGCTTTGGCAGGATGTTGAAGTCAAATGGGTTGAATATCAGAATATGGTGAACTACCTCATGCAGTGGATCAGACACCATGTCACGATAATGTCTGACAGAACATTTCCCAACAATCCCGTGGAATTGAAGGTGAGGTGTGGTGGCTTGGACTCCTTGTTGGAATTACACTTTATCTTACTGACTCAAAGCATACTTGAACAAATGACATGCTTGTTGATTTGTACAATCAAGTCAACTGTAGAACTCCTTAACCTTTTCAAAGTATAATCAGTACATTGCTAGCATATGAACAATCAAAAGCCAATCGTTACCTTGTCACTGATTGTTTTTTGTAGAACTCTAGTTGAACAGTATATAGGTAAGCTTGTGAAGAATATTAGAAGAGGGTTTAGAAATTAAGGTTATATTCACTCTAAATAAAACTTGATGTTATTTTTCACATTTCTGTAGGCACTTTATAATCAATATTTGCAGTTTAAAGAAACAGAAATTCCACCGAAGGAGACAGATAAATCAAAAATTAAACACCTATATAAACTGCTAGAGGTAAGTGTTAACATTCATTGAAATGTATAGCAGTTCCTTTTCTGTGGCTTAAAATAACAAGTACATATGAATTTTTAGGTCTGGATAGAATTTGGACGCATCAAACTTTCTCAAGGCTACCATCCAAATGATATAGAAAAAGAATGGGGAAAGCTGATTATTGCCATGCTGGAAAGAGAGAAGACCCTTCGGCCTGAAGTGGAGAGGTATGCTAGTGAATACTTGACAGGCTTTGTTAATACATTTTCTGTTGTTTTAACCCATATTGAAATTTGTAAATATCTTCTTCTATGACAATGTCCATATAACTTTTCTAGATCAAGTATTTCTGTCTTTGTTCAAAATCTGAAGTTTTCTGTCTGCCTAGAGGCAGGTCCAGACAAAAACAGCTTTGGTGGGCTCAGAAGGTTGTGATGAGCAGCATCTGTGCCTCAGATCATCAAAGCACTTGTAAACACATATGACCACCTTCTTTGTGCAGTTAGTCAAAGCTGGATTTGTATCACTTCACTGTCTCATTTCAAGTTGATTTCATATAAGGACCATCCTCATCCTTCACATGAAATGTGTTTTTTTCTTGGTGCACACGTTGTGGGCTAACATGTTGTGTAGAGGTTGTTTAAAACATTAGTGGTACTTGAGAGCACACCAAGTGTTTAGATGTGGAAAGGCATAGTAGCCTTCCATGACAGCAGCCCGTGGGACACTTCCGTACATTACTGATGATGTGCTAAGCATGATTAAAATCTTGATGCAGTATGAGAGCATTTTTAAATGGTATGTCTTTTTAAGTTCTGTGGGAGACACAGGTGCTATCCATTCATTGTTTTAAAAAAAAACCTGTTAAAGTTAAATGATTTTTGAGGCTTCTACATGTGGGTAGATACAGACACATAGATCTGGAGTCATTCTTCTTGACTTTATGCATCCAAAGGAAACATCTAAGATCTGAATTACTTTCTAGAGAATCTTGTTGCTGACTTTCTGGTGACAACAGGGTGACCTATCTCTCTGGTTTAGGTACCTGAAACTAGGTGTGAGGAGTCCAGACCATTGTATAGGAAGTCCTCAGCAAGAGAGATTTTAGTCAGGGGGCAAAGACAGTCAGAGTTGATTAAACATGTGTTATGTGAGCAAGAGCATGACTGAAATGGCAAATTCAGTAGGAGGTGTTGATTCATAGCACCCTACTGTGGAACAAGTTCCTATAGAGGAATACCAAGCTGTCCACACAATTCTGAGTTTTCCCTCTTATGCAGAGCAGAAAACTGGAAAGCAGCAGCAGCAGAAATACAGCCTGCTAGGTCTTGTAGGTTAATCTGTCCCAGCCTGCCAAAAGCAGTGTCTGGCTTCACCAATAGAAATTCTGTCCATACTTGCAGGAAGCTGGATTATCTTTGTTGAGAATGTGTATAAATGACATTAGTTTATTTCTGTTTTATTCACATGGTCTGAGCACAGATAAACAAACATGAACATAAATTTCTTCCCATACTTCAGGAAGGGTAAACACGCTTAAAGTGACAGCCCATATGGTGATAGTCACTGCATGTAATGGTCACTGTAAAATGAGAGACAAAATGTCATTAAGTGATTCTGGCTTAGCCACCAAGTTAAAAATATTGATTGATGTGCACACAAGAACATATCCATGTTTGTTGCACTGGTTACCAGTGCATCTTATCATTATGAGGTGTTGATACAGTTGCTGGAGTGAAATTTGATTGTGGCAAAAATGTGACTTCAACCAATACTGAAACCTGGTGAGTAATAAAACTTTGTCTGCAAGTCTATTGAATTGAAAATCTTTGAGATGTCTCAAAGTGTCAACACAAACAAATGTGTGGCCAGATTGGTGTATGAGATCAAAATTAATATGGTGTCAATGAGGAGAGTGCCAAAATGAGCTTTAGCTTGCAAAACTAGCAGAGTTTGGCATTGCTGCAGGGGTGTGTCTGTGCCTTTGCTGAGCTCTGCTGCATAAACAGTCACCTTGTGGGATGGGTGTGGTTGTTCAGGAATCCTAAAAGCAGGGGGTGAAATACTGAAAAAATTTCCTCAGTCCAGATTCTGAGTTAAAAAGTAAGCTTAAAAGCAGTGATCAGATTTTTATTACTTATTTTCTGGTCAAAGCAGCTAGAAGCAATTGGCTTTTAGCTGAATGTGGAAGATGATGAAGTGAAGTTTTCGGGAGGACAGTGTAGTGGGACAGGGCAGTTAGTGAAGTTGTGTGCTTGGACAGTGCAGAAATGATGGTAGGTTGGATGGTGTATAGGTGTCTCAGGATATGTTGTAATGAGCTGATTAAACCTGATACTCTCCCAGTTTTACTGTGCAGTTTTATTTGAAGGAAAAAGAGTCAGCCCAGCCTGGAGGTTATTTGTACTCCACTGTTGAGTGTGGATTTCTCCCTTCATTCCTTTCTGAAACTTTCCATTGAAGAGTCTGAGAGACACTGCAAAGAGTTCTTTTAGTTCTTACTTGAGTTATTTAGTGACACTTCAATAAAATATTTGGTGTGTCTGTTTCCTAGAGACGCCCCATTGTTGCTGCCTAGTCTGTACTTGCAAAGCTTTAATGCAAGGTAGGGAAGCCAAAAGCAAGGTAGCATACATAGCCCCAGGTAAAATCCTTTGAAGAGCTGGCAAAATATTAATTGCTGGGTTTTAAATGTGCATACTGAAGCCTATATAAAGGAGGAGTCTAGGTGTTTCAAAAGCCAGTAGTGGAATTTCATCCCTAGAAGCTGTACATTGTGCAGGAGTTGTATCTTCATTTTCCAGCAAATGCAAACAGCCAGAAGAACTGTGCTCTGGATGTAAAAATGAATAGCAGTAGTTACAGCTATCATAGCAGTGATTCGCTGTTTAGTAACAGCACTAGTACTCGAACCAGCATTGACTCCAATGAGAATTTCCTTTCTGTTAATTGTGGTCCCACGCTGATTAAATCTTGTATAAGCTTTGGTAATGGAACCTTAGAAGGGAACAGGTAACTTGACATATACTTTTGTGCTTTGTGTAAGATGCTGTTGATTCGTTTGTTTTTAAAGTCATGCAACATGATTGTAAATATAAATTACCTAGTACTTATTTATTTTCCTGAAATGCTTTGGCATCACCTAGGTTGGAAATGCTGCAGCAAATTGCGAACAGAATTCAGCGAGACAGCCGGAGCTGTGAGGACAAACTGATACTTGCCCGGAATGCTCTGCAGTCTGTAAGTCAGTCAGTGATTTTACTTGTCTGTATTTATAAATTTAAAGGAGTTGAATGGCAAGAATTTCTTCAGGGTTGGTGAGGACAACCTTAATAGCTGCTACTTTTATTTTCACTGTACTGTTAAGGTAGCATTTCTTCAAGAAAATACCACAAGTTGCCTAGAGTGTGTTCTGTTACATTATTTTTTTTGTTCTGTAGTTAATTAAATGCTTCACAATTGCTTCAAGATAAGAATATGTTGTTTAAAAAAAAAAAAGGAATTCTTAGAGCTGATATCTCTTCAGTTTTAGCTGCAAGGCTTATGACTTTCTCTTATTTACTAAGGACACCAAGCGATTGGAGTCAGGGCTCCAGTTCCAACATGAAGCAGAGATAGCTGGGTATCTTCTTGAATCTGAGAATCTTCTCCGCCAGCAAGTGATTGATGCCCAAATTCTTATTGATGGAAAATACTATCAAGCAGACCAGCTTGTTCAAAGGTACATTACAGTATGTTTATGTGTATAAATAAATGTCCCAAATATGGATTCCCATTATGGACAAAATTTTCAGTTCTTTATAACTATGCATAAACTTGGTGGGCTGTCACTGGACAACCATTTGGGTGATATTTATCAGAAATTCTGGTGCATGCATTGCTCACAAATGTTTACAACAACAGAAACTATTTGTACTTATTTATGAAAATTAAGTCAATCCCTGAACATGATTTAATGTTTGCTAGATATCTGTGTGTAAAGATGTTAGCTTGTGTGTAAAGATTGTTAATTGCATGTGAAATATATTTAGAATTTACTAGCTTTGATTTTTTTAAATGGAGGTGAGATTTCTGGTGACAGCTGTAGGTGTATTAGCAGGTAATAAGTAGGGTAACATTAGGTTATGTGTGGCACTGTGTACAGTGGTGGCAGAAAGAAGCATTTAAATGCATAATTCTGTTTTATGAAGAAGTGGTTCCAAGGGTTTTTTGGGATTCATCCTTTGGCTGATTGAGATATAGTGCATAACTCCTTGGCAGTGAACTGCAGGTGTTTGATCTACTGCAACATGTAGTGTCTTGTAAGATTTCTGGTTTGCTGATTGTTCCCTGGAATCGTGTAATAGTGCATGTTAGCGCCCATAACATTTTTTAGTCTTTGCCTGATTTCTACATTTATTATCTGTATACAATTATAAGCTGTATTCCCTGTACTTTCTGATAAAAATACTTGCTTATTAATATTTAAGTGCAACTAAAGTGTAAGAGAAAATGCGAGCTCATACCACTATTCAGTTGATCACGATAAACCTTAATCATAAGCATTCATTGTTCTTTTTTAATTCTAATTTAATAGAGTGGCAAAGCTTCGTGATGACCTGATGGCCATACGGACGGAATGTTCTTCTGTGTACAACAAGGGGCATGCACTGACCACAGAGCAGACAAAGCTGATGATATCAGGAATAACCGAAAGCTTAAACTCAGGATTTACAACAAGCCTAACGCCTGAATTAAATGCTGCAATGACACAAGGTTTAACACCTACTTTGACTTCTTCCAGTTTGACATCTGGCCTTTCATCAGGTATGGCTTCCAGACTGACACCAACCATCACTCCCGCTTACCCATCAGGCATCCCACCACGGTTAATTCAGAGCTACGTGACAGGAGTAGACAGTGGGACTCTGCAAACACTCAAACTGACGCAAATTAGAAAACCTCGGATGAAATCAGCTTTTGTGGATCAGAATTTGACGGAAGAAGAGGTGAACATGAAGTTTGTCCAGGACCTGTTGAGCTGGGTAGAAGAAATGCAGGTAGTGTTTTTTGCAGAAACAGTCCACTTTTAATGATTAAGTTTACTTTTTATAGATCATGGCTAATCTTTTCTTCCTGTTTGTAAGGTTCAACTTGATCGAGCAGAATGGGGTTCAGATTTGCCAAGTGTTGAAAGCCATTTAGAAAATCACAAAAATGTCCACAAAGCTATTGAGGAATTTGAATCCAGCCTTAAAGAAGCCAAGATCAGTGAGGTACTGAACCATGTTCTTTATTTCTTTGATTACTTTCTTACTGGGTGACCCATAAACTCATGTTGAATTTTAGAACTGTGTTTGGGTTTCACAGTCTTACCTTTAATTCTGACCTCTACATGACTTACGATGAAATCAGAAGATCTAATGGCTTAACATGTCTAACCTTTTTATTCTCTTTTGATCTCGTATACCAAATATAGATCCAAATGACTGCCCCTCTTAAACTCAGTTATGCAGAAAAACTGCACAAACTGGAGAGTCAATATTCAAAACTCTTGGTAAGTCAACAATACATCTTCCATGTTCAGCTTTTTGATGTGCATAATTTCTGATAAGGAATGAACTTTAAATTCTTATTATTTTAAATATTTTCCTTTTAATAAAGAACACATCAAGAAATCAGGAAAGACATCTAGATACTCTTCACAATTTTGTGTCTCGTGCTACTAGAGAATTGATATGGCTGAATGAAAAAGAAGAGGAAGAGGTTGCATATGACTGGAGTGAAAGAAACCCCAATATAACAAGAAAAAAGGAATACCATGCAGTACGTATTGCTAATATATTCCAGAGGGAATTATTAAGTGATCTTTAATTATTAGAGAGAGTTCTAAGACTTTTTTTTTTTTGTCCAAAAAAAGGAATTAATGAGAGAACTTGATGAAAAAGAAGAAGTTATTAAATCAGTACAAGAAATAGCTGAGCAATTGCTTCTTGAAAACCACCCAGCCAGGCTAACCATTGAGGTAAGTTAGTTAAACCAGCACCAAAACAGGAAAAAGTTTTGGGATTTAAGAGCTGAGTTTTGAGGGGAAAAAAAGGGGAAAAAGAAGGCAATCTTAGAGAAAATGAAACAATATTCTAAATTAAACAGGCCTTTTGAAATTTCCTCTTCAGCATCTCTGTTGTATTTATCTTCAAGTTTCCAAAATGTAAAAATGCTTTTATAACGTGGTTACACCTTGGATTGCTTAGATGAAATCTCCTTAAGCTCTAAAATTAATTGGTCTATACAGATGTTTCTGGTCATGCGACCTCTAGAGTTGTTGATACAAATTGCATTGACAGACTGGGGGCACAGAACAGTCCTTATGGTGTTTCTTTCCTGCTGGATTGCAAGAAACTTCAGTAAGAGCTTTTGTTGTCACTTACTGCTTGTGCAGGTTCCTATTACAATTTAGGGTTGGTTTCATAACTTACTTGTCAGTGAATTATGAAACTTGTTTGGATGTTAAAAATCTGACCAGATGATATGATTTACTTTAGGCTTGAATCTAGCTCTGTGTTATATATGCAAACAATTTACAGAAAAATTTATTGTAGCTATTGTAGGGTCATAACAGGTTTTCAAAGGAAAATGGAAAACACTTTTCCTTGTGGACCTTCAAGGAAAGAGTAGATACAGACAGTGGGTGGTAAAGACTGAAACAATAATGTAGAAAAATCATAGAAGAATGAAAAAAGTCAGAGGGAATGTGTTTTTATTATTTTTCTGGAAACATTGAAGAAAACCCCTCCCTTCCTTCTCATGACATCTACTTTGAATAATAAATGACTTTTTATGTAATGTGGGAAATTCTATTCTTTAAAAGTATAGGCTGATCTAATGGGTTCTTATTGGTGTGGTGTATAAATGCACTGAGGATGCCTGTTATGAAACCAGGCCATCGCAGTCATGGTGACTCTGCAGGTTATGCCATCTCCAGTGATGCTATATTGGAATATTTATAAAAAAATATCCTTTAAAAAAATATTCTTTTCTACAGAACAATATATGTATTAATGCATCAATTTGAAATTCCTGGAAGACAATGGAAAAACTGTTCAGAACTGGGAACGGGAGTGGAAACCCCGAGATAGGGGGTGATTTCCCAAGGGCAGGAGCTCCCCCTGCTGACAGGCCTGGGGGGCTTCCATTTCAACTGTGTATTCAGTGCTGCCTTAGGGGTCTTGAACTGTGTATTCAGTGCTGCCTTAGGAGTCTTGAACTGTGTATTCAGTGCTGCGTTATGAGTCTTGAACTGTGTATTCAGTGCTGCGTTATGAGTCTTTAACTGTGTATTCACAGAGTTAAAACTGTGTTCAGTGCTGCGTTAATATACGAGCTGTACCCGGCAAGAGTCCCTCAGTTTTGGCTGAGTAAATAGGCACACGGAATTGCAGATGAGCTTAGGCTGGAGGAACCTCAGGAGCTGAGCTCCCAGAAAGAGCTGAAGTACTACCAGGGATTTGTTTGGCCAAATTCTGACCAGGCCAGAGGATGATGATTTCACAGTGTTTACTAAATTCTGTAAAGATATGCAAGTTTTAGTTTTCATTTCCATTTGTAAAATGTATTTCCCTTCCTTAAAGGCCTATAGAGCTGCGATGCAGACACAATGGAGCTGGATTCTTCAGCTCTGCCACTGTGTTGAACAACATTTGAGAGAAAATGCTGCATATTTTGAGGTAAGGAAGTAAATTAATCAGAATATGAAATATTTTAAGTTTTGTTCATAGTAAAAAAGTTCCACTAGAAGCTGTAGTTGTTCTCTCACAGTATTTGTAGAATTGACATTTTTCTTGTACAACTACTAGAAGGTAAAACATACTCCCACAGAGTTGCCACACCTCTATTTCTTCACTACAGTTATGTTAGTTCACAGCAGATGAAAATCTGGCCTGAGATTTTTTTCAATGCTGCAGCTGCAAGTAGAGACTTTGAGAATGAAACCTTGTTCTCTTCCATGTCGTGCACAGCTGCTGTCAGTAGAGCTTCTGTGGATGATGTAGAGTGGAGGGTGGTTAGTGATGGCCATGGGAGAACATATTCTAGGTGGTTATTCCAGGATTACTCAAAGCAAGATGGAATGTGCAGCATTAATAATGATCAGAGAATAATAGAGAACACCCTGACAGCAGACATGTGCCATAAAACACCCGTCTGATTATCTCATTGTCACCCATTCACATACTCAGCAAATGATGAAGTTACTTGCATGAGCATGATAGAGGAGCTTCTTTGTTGGTTTTTTTTGTTTGTTTTTAAATCTACTAGTTTAAAATATTTAAATTATAAGGATGAATCCTTAATGTCTTCTGGTTTGTGTGGTTGAAGAGAAAGTTAGGTGGTGAATGGGTGAGATGTCTTTGGTCTGAGAAGGATGAGAACCCAAAGTCAGGAAAGGGACACTGGAGAAGACAAAGCAATTTGAACTCCTTGCGACAGGGGGAAGAAACTGGAATTCTGGATTTAAGAAATGGAGCTTAAGGGAGAGAATGGGATTACCCTTCCCAGTCATGCCTAAGCAGGACCCAAGTGTGGCAGCTCATTTCTCTTCCTGCACAGAATGTTTGCCCCAGCTGTGCTGCCTGGATTTTGCAGCTAGTTTCTATAGTTTGTTGGCTTTGTGCTTTCCATATGAAAGTAATTGTAATTCCAAGGAAAGCAAGATTGGGTTAATAAAATTTTTCATTGCAGGAATGGTCATTAACTGTAGGTTCAATAACTACAGAATTAATTTTGCATACCGAGAATAACTGGTGCTAGCAGTGTGTGCCTTTTTGAAGAGTACATTTAGACATGAGATCATGAGTAGTTGAGTGTGATGCAGTGGTCACTTCCAAAGAGAAAAAGTAATTTTAAAAGACAATACTTGAAAACTTCAGTGTAGCTGATTCTGTATTTTTTAGGTTGTTTAAAAATAACCCAGATAATTATTTCATCCTAGTTTTTCAGCGATGCCAAAGAAGCCATGGAATATTTGAAGAATTTAAAAGATACCATATACCGAAAATACAGTTGTGATAGATCAAGTGGTCTTCATAGGCTGGAAGACCTTGTCCAGGAGTCTATGGTAAGATCTTTGGTAGGATCCTGTTAACAGGCATTACAATAGAAAAAGAAATGTGTAGGTTATGGTGGGATATAAAATGTGTTAAGATTATTCTTTTAAAGTGAAGGAAAAATGCTGATTTTTCAGAATGTCTAAATAAATTACTCTTTTTCGTAACTTTAAAATACGGTTTTATTTATTTATATTTACAATACCAGATGTGGGAAGACAGTGGCTTCAGAAAGATAATTTATTTTTGTAAAATGTGTTACTTTTAGGAAACACAGTAGAAGGAGTCAGGGGAAAGAAGAAAAAAATAACAGGATCAAAGAGGCAGTACTGTATTCTGGACATCTCTTATGACGTATTCTTTTCTTAACTGTTCTAGGAAGAAAAAGAACAACTCTTGCAGTATAAGAGCACAGTAGCAGGCCTTGTGGGAAGAGCAAAGGCAATAATTCAGCTGAAGCCAAGGAACCCTGACTGTGTACTCAAAACATCCATTCCAATTAAAGCCATCTGTGACTATAGACAAATTGAGGTTAGAAAGTAAAATTTCCTCAAACCAATTACAGATGTAAGAATTCAGCTAAAGTTTCATTAATTACTGCGTTCCTGGAGAAAGCTGGGCTGTAAATTTCTTCCACCCTAGTAAACAAGAGCAAATCCTTTGGTTAGAACATTGGTTTTGTTGTTCTGTTGCTTATTTGTTGACAGCATTTGCAGAAGTGCTGTGTACAATTATTTTGTAATGCTTGGCTCATCAAATTATTCTGCTTTTCTGTTAATACTAGATAACTATTTACAAAGACGATGAGTGTGTATTAGCAAACAACTCCCATCGTGCTAAATGGAAAGTCATTAGTCCAAGTGGTAATGAGGCCATGGTTCCATCTGTATGCTTTACAGTTCCTCCACCAAACAAAGAAGCAATAGATACGGCCAACAGGTAAGGACAAAGTAAAACTACCTATTTTCTACTAAAATCCGCTTACATGAAGTTTAGGTTTAAGGAGCATCTCACAGTTTTTGTTGGTGTGATTTTTGTTTTTTTTTCTTCTTTTTTTGTTTTAATATGTTACCCTGATCTGAAGTTGGAATTTTTTTGTTTCAGGATTGAGCAGCAATTTCAGAATGTCCTGGCCCTTTGGCATGAGTCACATGTAAACATGAAGAGTGTGGTGTCCTGGCATTACCTGACAAATGAAATTGAAGCTGTTCGAGCTGGCAATGTTGCCTCAGTAAGTGTTATGATTAGGAAGGGCTCTTAAGCATTTACTAGGAAGTTATAGGATGATTAAACTGTGTGCAATCACAGAGTGTTGTTTTGCAATACTGAAAATGACATATTCCTGCCTAATTTATCACTGTTACTGTTGGAAAGAAGAATCTGAGATATTTCTTGAAGTGTCCCTATTTGTCCTTGCTATTGTTTGCTGCTGCATGGTGTTAGATGGCAGAAATGAAATCTGATGTAGGGCTGGCTTAACAGAGGCCATTCCTGATGTGAAAGACTGAAAAGGATTTTATGTTAAGTGTAAATTATCAGATGTCAAGTGGACTCCAGCTAAGGAACAGTGAGCTTTCAGAACCTCAGTTCTTTGACATTACCCTCTCAGTAATTGATCAGTATTGCTTTTTGATAAACTGTGTGGGTGGTGCACCATTGCTGAGTGTGTTTTGGGTCTGTAATCTGTTGCAGATAAAGACAATGCTGCCAGGTGAACATCAGCAGGTTCTAAGCAATTTACAGTCCCGCTTTGATGATTTTGTGGAAGACAGCCAGGAGTCCAAAATCTTTACAAGCTCCGATACGGCACAGCTGGAGAGGGAGGTTAATGTTTGCAAGCAATACTATCAAGAGCTTCTCAAGTCTGCAGAAAGAGGTAAAACTTAGCTTAGAAGAGTAGAAAGATACCCTTATGAGATAGATTTTGTTCTTCATCTTGAGGTCTCTTTATCATGGTGATACTACTACAATTTGTGTTCTTTTGAACAGTCATTTTAATGATGTGTGCAATTGCATTGTATAGAAGCTCTTAATTTTTTTGAGACCTTATATATATTAAGCTATGTAAAAATATTGATGTGTTACATAACATATAAATGCTACAAAAATTGATGTGCATTACAGCTCACTGCATAGTCCTGCTTTCCTTGTTTTTGAATGCTAGAAAAACAGCTTGTTTACTTCATTGAATTTGTAACATAATGTCCTAGGGTGTCCCAAACCAGGGCACAGTATTAGAACTTTTTTCACCCTCTTAAGGCAAGGAAAATGTCATAGCTATTTTCCTAGCTCCACAGGATGCCTGTAGTTACTGCTCTCTTAACTCTAATTAACATTGTATTAATACAGTGAGAACAGAAAGCTTAAAATTGCTCTTTTGATTCACTGTTGAGTGGTTGATGACTTAAAGAAATACAGTAGTGCAAAGCTGATTACTTCATTAGCAAAGTTCACTAAACTTCAGGAAAGATGTGGTGCCCTGAAAGGCATCTGAAAGAGGATTTATGTCCCTGATGCCACCAATTAAACGAATCAGTCACTGAATTTAGCAATGTCACCATAGAGGTAATGCCTATGCAGAATGATCACAGATAGTAATTTTTTATGTATGAGGAGATGATTTAATAAAAGCAAAAAATCAAGAGTTTCTAAGATTTTCCTTATAACCAAAATTTTGATGGAAACTGATGGCATTTTGGCCAGTCAGGAAAACACCTGTAGAGCAATGACTTGATAAAGTGTGAGAAGTTATGGTGAAAATGACACGATGACTTTGCTGGCTGACATGTGCCTTAATTCTTTCAACAGAGGAGCAGGAAGAATCTATTTACAATCTGTACATCTCTGAAGTCAGAAATATCAGACTTCGGCTGGAGAGCTGTGAGGAGAGGTTAATACGGCAGATCCGGACGCCAATGGAAAGGGACGATGTACATGAAAATGTGCTTAGGATTTCAGAGCAAGAGGTGAGCCTTTGAGAAAGGATGTTTTACCTAGGAAAGGTTTTATTTGAAAAACAAATATATCCTGACTTTTGAGTGTAAGCCAGGAAGGTTTGCAGTATGCCTTGAGAAGAGGAGTCAAATATTTAGCTTGTGTTTGTGAGCAAAAAGATGCTGATCAGTGGCAACTCCGTTAGTTTCCCTATTACACATGCATTTCTCTTCAATTTTTTTCAATGTTGTCATCATCAAAGAAACAAAGGAGGGCAGACCTATACTCATAATAATATGTAGAGTATATATCAGGTTGATGTAGGATGAAGCACTATCAGTCTCCTCATTTTACAGAAACTGAAGAAAGAACTGGATCGACTAAAGGATGACTTGGGAGTCATCACAGATAAATGCGAGGAGTTTTTCAGTCAAGCTGCTGGTTCACCTTCAGTCCCTACTCTGCGCTCTGAACTCAATGTTGTTATCCAAAACATGAACCAAGTTTACTCCATGTCTTCCATTTTCATAGATAAGTACGTACTAGGCTGTCTTCCATCACATGTTTTAGTTTACAGTTTTGTCTTAAATTAAAACTATTAGTATGAATAATACTGATCAAAGAAAAGGGAGTTAACATTTTAACAGTGTATAAAGGAGTACCCTGTGACATGAAAAGGCTGAAAAACACAAATCTGTTGAGTGTTGGTACTGATGGTTCAGTTAACAGGGGGTCTGTTTTTCAGATTAAAAACTATAAATTTGGTGCTGACGAACACCCAGACAGCAGAATCATTAGTAAAACACTATGAAACTAAATTGTGTGAAGAAGAGGCAGTAACGGCTGACAAAAACAATATTGAAAATCTGATGGGTACATTAAAGGTAAGAGCTGGCTGGTGCCTTTTCATGGGCAAATCATAAAAATAAGACAAAAACTCTCTGTCTTGTAACACCTGATTTTGTTATGCTACACTCCATAGTGTATCATACATTGGCTTGTGTATTTAGTTTTAGGTGGTATTAGGATTGGCATTTCAGAAAATAATGGCAGTTTTGGAGCATTTAGGATTTGGATAGGTTGAAAGCATGTTCCTACTGCTGCAAAATGTGTTGAGCTGTCTGAACTTGCAAAAGTGACACTTGTTAATGCTGCAGTAAGATTTTCTTTGCTCTTTAGAAGGTAGCATATACTTTAGGGTAATATAAATATATGTTATGCAAATTTGACCACAGTGACATTCTGCAGTTACTACTGCTTCAGTGTACTAAGCAGGGTTTCTTAGGAAGTTTGGCAGGTATCTTTGAGAAGTGGAAAGATTGAAGTTTAGCATGTTTTGTTTGCTGTACATAACTCATTTTAATGTTACAAATTATGAGTAGCGTTTTTTTGCTAGATAGAATGATTGTCATCTGCCTAATAATTTTTTTGAAAGCTGTAGTTTATAAGGTGAGTGTGTTCATTTGATGTCTGTGTTTTGATCTGTGTGTTGTGGGGTTTGCTGTTACTTAGAATTATTTTGCAGTTTGTTGCTTCAGACCCATTCTGGTGCCACTCAAGTATTTTAGCAAGCAGAAATCAAATATTAATTGAAACATTTTTATTGATTAATTTATACAGCATGCTCATGTATAGTACTCATTTATAAAATAGTGTCTTAATTTTGGCAGTTATTTACAACTTTTTTTTATCACCTACTAGCAATGGAGATCTGAAGTAGATGAGAAAAGACAAACATTCCATGCCTTAGAAGATGAACTGCAGAAGGCAAAGATGATCAGTGATCAGATGTTTAAAATGCACAAGGAACGTGATCTTGACTTTGACTGGCATAAAGAAAAAGTTGATCAGTTGGCTGAGAGGTGGCAAAATGTTCATTCTCAAATTGAAAATAGGTTTGTATGACTTTATTATAATCTGTTCATGTTTTATACTGTTTTGTTTTTTTTGTCTTTGAGGAGAAACAATCAAAAATGAATGTTTAAACAGGTCTGAACTGTTTTCTGAACTTTTTTTTGAATGTGCTGGGATGAAGACCTTTATTGTGCTGTTGATAACATTGTCTTACTTTTCCACTGGAAATGTCTGTGACTGTTAAGTTCCAAAAGATGAACAAGATACAGAAACTTACTACTTACCAATACACAGTGTAGATAAATTGTCTTTTTTCTTTAAAAAAACAAAAAACAAACCTGCAGAAATGGCTGGCAGTCCTATGGAAATGCCATCTGTTTCTCCACATAATTAGTTCTGATGGGCCAAATTGGTGAGCTGATTCATCAGTTATTATTGGTTTCACGTTAATTTGCTTTTAATTACTCAAGTGTTAAGTCTGGAAGTTCATAGCTTCCATTGACTTCTGTGATAATTTTTGGTACAATAACTTTTTGGTGAAGTGCCTTTTATTTTTTTAAATATCCAGTAGAGATAGTGCTCTAAATTCAGCCCTTTACTGTCAGGTTGATACTGAAAAATGTTGCTCAGTTACATGTGCCTATGTAGATGTGCAGATACAGCTGAACACACCTACCTGTATTTCTGAAGGAGATGTCCATACATCCTGGCATCCATGGCATTCCTGGAAATGCTTTTTTCTTCAGTCTCTACAGTCCTGTTTCCTGTATGTAAAGGAAGTAGAAATGTAGAGGATGAAGGAAAAAGTATGGGCAAGGGTTGAGGAATTGTGTACTGTGCAGTCTGAACTTATTTCCTTTGAAATGTACTTTAGTTTGTCATTACAGATAGCCTGAAAAAGAACATTGAAGATAGTGCTGTTGATATAAAAGTTCACACAACTACCTGTCACATTTTTGTCCTCCTTCTGTAAGGGGTGAATATACAATTCAGGTGCAATATTGAAGTTATTCCCTCATAATTAACTGATTTAGTTGTGTCTGTCTAACATTGCTGGAAGTTAAAAAGAAAATGGGGAAAAGGTCACTCATTTAAAGCTGGCTGCAGAATATCTAGCTTAAGTTCCACCTCTTTAGGACAGATTGTGGTAACTGCAGTACAGAGCTGTAAACAAGCTGCTTTCTGCAAATATTATCTCTGCTTCTTCCTACCAACTTGACACTGATAATCATTATACAAAATGTATTTACAAATATTGGCTGCAGTTATCATGATCCTTTCTCTTTTTCATGGTTATTAGCTTTAAAACATGCTTAATTATGAAACCTGAGCAAAAAAAAATTCCTTTGCTTGCTTTTTTAATCTCCCTTTGGCATCTTAAGAACAACAACACTAGAGCAATTCAAAGTATTCATTCAAGCTGAACTGTAAAAGGTTATTTAATTCTGTTTATTCTCCAGTGCTGAGTGATCATACTTATATGATCTTTTAAGTAGAATCATAGAATATCCTAAGTTGGAAGGAACCACAAGGATCATCAAGTCTAACTCCTGGCTCTGCAAAAAGCAGCCACCAAAATCACACCATGGTAACAAGTATAAGGATCTTGAAAGAAAAATTGTCAGTATCTCCCTCAGTATGGAAGTGACTTTAAAGGAATACACAGAATTCTCTTTTTACATCAAAAACATGATTTAAAATTAGATGTGCATGTTCAATTACTCTTACACATTAGCATATTTTCAGTCTTTAGTTTTAGTGTAACTCCTGCTGTTTTGTGGGCATGTAGAGTATGGTGAACCACTACTTGACTCCATCATGGCACACTCCTCAATTCATAGATTTCATTTTAAATACTCCCACTTGTAACAGAGTGGTTTGCTGTAGCAGAGGCCTCCCTCTTTCTTGGGGTTTCCTTGTGGAGTTTCAAGCAGTTGAACACACTAATGAGGGATGTATGGAGTTTCTTGTGCAGTAGGATCTCTTCTGGATGTCCTTTATGACAAATGGAAAGAGTTTGTCAAGCTGGGAGCCCTAGTATTTGAGAAATGAATTTGCTGTTTAATTAGTGTCACTTTAGTGTGTTTATACCGTGAACTATAACAGAGCCAAGGCATTTGAAGCCTTTGAAGCTGTATTTGCCTTAGTGTTGTATTTTTTGTCTTTAATAATCATCTTCTCCCCTTTGATTTGTCTTCTAAAATAAAATCAGGTTGCGTGACTTAGAAGGTATTAATAAATCTCTGAAGTATTATAAAGATACTTACAATTCTTTGGACACTTGGATTCAACAAGTGGAAGATACTCAGCGAAAGATTCAAGAAATACATCCTGAGAATAGCAAAGCATTGGCTAAGCAATTGAACCAACATAAGGTATGAAAGAGATGTCATTGTGGCAAACCACTGCGGTAAACTCTAACCAAAAAATTACAATTTCAGTGGTATCAACCTTGTTTATTAATATGAGGGGCTTATATCCATCAGCCCTTACTGTAAAACTCTAACCACAAGATTTTATGATTTTGTGTCAACAGTGCAGCCATGAATAAATCATCCAGTGATTATTGTCACTGTTTTATAGACCAGATTGTTTGGTCCTCAAGTGTGCAAGAACATCAAAACTTTAAAACTTCTGGACTCACTTTACCACATAATTTCATATTCAGTGCTGCTTTTTTTTATTTATGGATGCAGAAATATTTTTATGGAACCATAGCTAAACTCAACATCTTTCTCCTGCAAGAAGGAAATGCAGTATGAATAGACAGGATAATAAATTATATGCATGAAATGATACATTCCTGATTTTAAGTTCATTCCCCAGCTATTAACCTGGCTTTTTCACTACTTCTGTACTGTAAATCTGATAAAGCTGAGGATGTAGGCTTGAGCATAATTACTTGTATACATATGGATAAGATCATATTAGATAAAGTAGATGTTAATGAACCATCTATTTGTGTTAGAAAATATTAGACAAAGTAGAAATGTTAATTATAATAGTAATAAAATAACTTTTAAGATGAAAACGTACATTGATATTTTCCAGATGCTGGTTTCTGAGATTGAAATGAAGCAAAGCAAAATAGATGAATGCCAGAAGTATTCAGAACAATACTCAGCTGCTGTGAAGGTAACAATAACATTACACTTAATCTTATTTTTTTAGTGTCAGTATCACGTGTAATGTCAATGATTTTGTTTATTTTCTCTTTTGCAGGACTATGAGTTGCAGACCATGACCTACAGAGCTATGGTTGACTCCCAGCAAAAATCTCCAGTAAAGCGCCGAAGAATGCAAAGCTCATCAGACTTCATTATTCAAGAGGTAACTGGTTTCTTATGGCAGGAAAATGTGAGTTTTTGCTTAAAACAGAGTAAACACAAGAATGCAGTTTTGGATTTAATAATGGTTAAATATGGTAATCCAAGAAAGATTGGGTCTTTTCGCTGTAGATACACAATATAACAAGTATTCTCTTGTTCCTTATGCTGCGTTTCGGTAGCAAGATAGTATAATGCAGCTGATTAAAAAAAGTCACCCAAGTTATAAAAGGCTGTATGACAACTGTGCCTCAGTAAAACTGCTTAGAACTACCCCTGGACTGGATCTTGAGCACAGTAGACAAGAAGTTCATCTTGACCATAGTAAAACCTACCAGATCTAGACACTTTTGATAGATTCTAAGGCAAATCAGCCTCCTTCAGATGAGAAAGATGAATCTGTTGCTCTGCAACCTGTTAGAGAGAAGAATAGTGACAAACATGGCTTGTTCCACTTGAAACCTTTTCATGCAGGGACAAGAATCATGAGACTGTGAAGTTAAAACATTGTCTTCTGTTTCTTCTTCTTGTGGAACTGCTCACAGATACTTAGGGTTTTTTGTTCAACTGCACCTTGTTGACAGCATTGAATTTTTGGAATCAAAATTAGGACTTTGAATTCCACAATCATGATTTTGAAATCAAAATCAGGATAGGTTCTAGAGCAGTATCTATCACTTCTTTCAAGCTGAATGGGAGTGTTTGACCTCTCTGACACCTATCCCCTGTTTTGTTTCTTTACAGTTCATGGATCTACGGACTCGGTACACTGCCTTAGTGACCTTGATGACCCAATACATTAAGTTTGCAGGTGATTCTTTGAAAAGACTGGAAGAAGAAGAGGTAGGTTATTCTCTGGCAGTCAACCAAGCAAAAAGGACATCTAGGCAACCAAAGAGAAATATAGCTGTTGAAATAGTTCACAAAGTTACCAGCAAATGTGGAAAACTAAAATTCCTTATGAAGTGCACATTGTACAGGAATGTAGCAGTGTTAGCACTATTATCATTCAGATAGGCAAAATCCTGTAGCATTCATACATTTTACCAGTTCTTCCACCTAGAAAGATCATATGATTTTTTGAATTCTGATGGACATGTAGTTTAAATTTAAATACTAATACTTTCAATTTTAATACCCTAGGGCTTGATCTTTTGGGTAAAAGCAGACATTAAGATGAAAGCAAACTCACTGTGTATACCCTATGTATGCATATTTCTAATATTCCATAGTATGCATTCTGATCCACTTAACAACCAGCAAGGAAGCACTTTCAACAGGGAGATGAAATGCCCTCTTAATTAATTTCTGAAGTTATTTTGATCTGTTCAGCTATTTTTTTCTTCTGCCTTTCTACTGTATTGATTCCTTGGAGTCAAACAGCATTTTATTTATGCTTAGAGTTGGATCTTATTAGCGAGAGTAGGTTATTGAAATTAGGCAGACAAATTTCTCAAAATACATGCTTGCTGCAGAGCAAACCTTCCAAATAACTGAGGGGAAAAAAACACCAGCCTTCTAAATTTTTCTCATTCTTTTGAAAGTGTCTCTCAGAAAGAGATTATATAGTCATTCTTTAAGGACTACATTGTTTTAGTGTAAACAGTATGAATTGGATAAAATTGGAGAACACTACTATATGGGTGTAAATTTTAATGTTATTGTTAAAGAAAAAAACCCCAGTTCTTAAATGAATGTTATATAATACTGGTGCCAATTTTGTTTTTATTGGCTTTTTTTGCTATTGAATACCTCTGAATCAACACTAATGACAGCATGTATCTTTAGGCATCATTAAGTGGTGGAGCAAACTGATGGAAATAGATAATATTTGTTGATAAGTAGCCATTATAACTGAGGATTTAGTATGACTAATAATGATAATGGCATCAAGGATAAAAAGTCAGAAGGAACAAGGATGAAGAAATCTGTGAATGTTGATAGACTTCACGTTCTTCAAGAACAAGTGGAATCTTTCAAAATGCTTTGAGTTTCAATCTGCTCTGACTCTCCAGGATTACTTTTTTTTTTGAAATCAAGTACTCTCCATCTTCCTTCCTCCTCTACCCCCTGTCAGTCTTCTAAATCTTTGATATCTTTTTTGAAGATAATCTAAGCATGTTACCAGTCTCAAAATAATATAATGGGGTTTTTTCTCTTTAATTAGGGTAGCAAATAAGAAAAAAAATCTTTTTCAAAAGAGGAATGAGTTGGTTTTTTTTCTTCTGGGAAGAAAAATTCTTCACAGACCTCTGGAGTCTGTGATTGTTCTGAGATTATCTTTTATGCCAGTCTTTCTTCCTAACTCTCAGTAATGGCATTAAGAAAACAGAGAATAAGGAAAAAATTAGATGATTTCCATCATATCTCAGTTTAATCCATGTGCTGTCATGCTCAGAGTTTATCAGAAGAGAATCAACTCCAGCAACCTGTGAAGTCAGCTGAAATCTTTCAACATTTGGGATGTAATGAAGATCTTGAATTGAGAGAAGGAAAGAAACCTAATGAAAGCATGATGGATGTGGAATATTTGCAAAACAAGAACTCTTCCAGTAAGACTGAATACGCAGAAAATAAACTGGAAATAAGCAGAAGAAAATTAAATGTAGACAGATATGATAAAATCAAAATTGATAGAACATTTAAGCAACTTCTAAATTTCAGTGGTCAAGAAAGTAGCATTAGTGGCAACAGAGACAGTGAACTGCATTCAGAGCAGGAGAGTTTAATGGGTTTTGGTAATCAAAGTAAAGAAGAAAAAAGAAGAAAAGATTGTTTTGTTTCAACTGAAATCTGTGTTAGTGTGAATGATCCTGGTGAAATGTTAAATGAGCAAGTTGCTAATGGAGAGAGACAGAAAGCAGAGTGGAAATCAAAGAGGTTGCCTGAAGTGGAAATGATACACAAAACCACAGGAAAAAACAGTTCAACAAAGGCAGGGAGTGATGTTTCAACAAAGGAAGAATGTGAGATGCAATCAGAAACTGATTTTCACCTAACAGCAAAGCAAGTTGAAGTAACTCCAAAAACTGCAAAGCAGGCCCTGGGTATCAGCCCTTACAAACAGCAACATTTTTCACAGAGAACTCATTTTCCATGTCAGCATAAAGAACATTGCTTTGCAGAAAGCAAAAGTCATAATACTTTAACATCTGAAGATGGAGAGCTTCAAGTGTGTGGTGAAAAAGGTGATATTCTTTCAGGTGCAACACATGCAGCATCTTTAGAGAAAGTTGCATCCTCTTTCAGAGAGTGGACAGTGCACAATGGAAGTGAAAAAACCAAGTTAAATTTGCTATCTATGAGCAATCCAGGTATTTATTGTCATGTTGAAAGGAATACTGACAAACTGCAGAAAGCATCTCTGGATAAAGATTACTTCCTAGTAGAAAATAAAATCCTAGAAAAATCAAATAAAGCCAAGAATACAGAGCAAGAAATTTTGTCTCTTTCTTCAGGAAATATTTCAGAGAGTCACTGTGCAGCAACAGTCTCTGAATCCTATACATTAGACTTTCAAGTATCACCAGTGCAGAATGATCAACATTTAGGTACAGCATTGTTAGGAAATGCTGGTGATTTAAATGCAAATTTAGGTCTCTCAGGATTTTTTTCTGGAGGAGATGATTATTTTTCATTATCAGAACATGAACTAGGAAAAAAGCTTTCTTGTCACTATGAGGAAGTAAGTATGAAGAACATACCCCAGGGTAACACTTATGGTTTGGACAACATAAATAGAAGTGGGAAGAAGCAGAATGGAGAAGACAGGCTAGAACAGGGTCAGAAATGTAAAGATTTATTGCTGGTTTCAGAAGTAGACAGTAGAGATGAGTATAATAGCACAAAGTTCCCTGGAAAAACCACTGCACTTCAAAAAACATTCGGTGAAAAAGTAGGCATAAAAGCGTCATTTGAAAAAAAAGAAAAGCAAAGAAAGAGAGACCAAGTTAATGAAGAGAAATGGAGTACAACTATTATTAAGGTACCAGCGTTTTTATGCAATGCAAATGAAAGAGTTAATCTAAGAATGTTTCTAAATCAATGCAAATCAACATTTGAATCACAAAATATGTCAAGGTCAAGTGATTAAAGATTGATTGAACATAATTTAAACAATGAATATGCTAATCATGCATATCAATTACTGTACATTTTGAGATGTTTAAGATTTTTAAGTTCTTGGAAATTAATTTTTATGTTTATTTTGTGTTAATATTTGCCATCCTTTTCTCCACCCAACTGATGCTCAGCATGTAGACTAGAAAAATGAGATCTAAGAAGATACAGTTTGTTACTGTATCTATATTTTTAGGTGTTTTTTTTCAAGCACAATACATTAGACTTTGTGTTTATGTGAGTATAAAAGATCTGATAACAAATCAACTTAAATACCTTGGTTCTGTTGGGGGCTGTTCAAAATTATAATACAGGGAAATACAGAGAGGAACTGAAGAAGCTGCCTTTGCATTAGCCTTTTAAGAAATGTCCCAGATATCGTATGAAAAATCAAGTGAAATTTTAAGTAACCCAACAGTTTGTTTGTTTGGAAACGTTGCTGTCATTACCCTTCATGCCCTGTTTGTATGATCATAGGTATATAGGTGTGCTCTTTCTTCATGTTAGCTCACATTTGGTAACTTAGCCCCACAATAGCGCTAATGAAGACAAGGTATGTATACTTTCAACCATATTGTTACTGGTGATTACACTTTTTGCTTAAAAGATTTGCTCTGGATCTGCCAATGTATGGACCCTACCAGCCAAGTGGTTTTCATTAGGATTTTCCTAATTACCATGTTTACACTTGTGTGTCTACACTGCAGAACATCTGTGCTCTTGCTCGTCCCCCAGCTGAGTCAGCGGGGGCACAGGGACTGGGGAGCACACTGTGGAGCACAGATGTGCGGGGGTTTGGACACTGCTCTTTCTGCAGCTGCTGCATCTTGGCTCTAAGATACCTTTTCTTTTCTTGGAGGGGATTTCCAAACTTTCCTTGTGTCATTTGTGCTTGCAAGCTTAAATCCTTCTTCCAGTTCCTGCTGAACTGATTGAGAAATGGTAGGCCACTTTCTCCTTGGGAATTCTTGCACACTGTGTTTGGGTCATTGTTTGCTCTACCTATTTGTTTGGAGAGAAAGCCAAAGTGAGCTGTTTGGTGTTGCTTTCTGCTAAGAGGCATCTGACTGAAGTGAGAGGCTTCAGGACTTCTTCGCTTTGTGGATGTCTTTGTCAAGGGTTTCATACTTGGCTAATGGTAACTTCCTGAAGCCTTCAAGAGAAGGTGATGGTGGTGGGAACTGCTCATCCTGCTTTTTGGACATACCATATATACATGAGTAAGTATTTTCCCTTCTGCTTTTCTAAGAGCCTAATAGGTTCCATATGCTGTATTACGAAAAGTGCATTTCAACTTATTTTATTCTTTTACAGATTTTAAGGAATAAGGAAGCATCCACACGTCAGGCATATTCCGATCTAATGGCACAGCAAAATAGCACAGCTGATGAGAATAAAAAACTCATGGGAAAGGTAAAAACACTTGAGGAAATGTTGGAGAATATGAAGAAGCAAAAAATCCAAGTGGAGCAGGAGCTCCCTAAAGTGAGAGAAGCTGCAGAAAAAGAGCGGAAGAAGCAGCAGAAGGACATGGAGGAGATCTGTCTTCAGAAGACCAAGGCTGAGCAAGAGGCAAAGCAGTGTCGTAAAGATCTAGAAAGCATTGAGAGAGAGAAAGCAGATGCAGAGCAGGAGTTGGAGTGTGTAAGGCAGTTCATTTTCCAGGCAGAGACTCAAAGAAGTATACTGGAAGAAAACCTCCGTGCTTTTCGAAATCAAATAGA